ACACACACACACACACACACACACACACACACACACAGACACACACTCACACACACACATACACAAACGGACACATATAAATTATGCTTTCCATCACAGTCTATATGGTCATAGGAATCAGTGAAAATGGGTCACATTTTCAAAAAATAGTAAAATGTAAAATAGTCTACTGCAAGGCTCAGAATCCTTTTTGCCCTGACGATTGCGATGTCCCTCCAGACTGTCCACTCCAGTTGCAACAATAGAGTGTATGTAAAACATTTGCTACAGTAAAAGAGAGAGAGAAAGAGAGCCTGGATGAACTCTGAAATGAAGCTCAATGAAACACACCACCTGCTGATTACATAAAGACCTATGAAATATTTTAACAGATGGTGAACTGTTAGGTGTGAGGGATATATGATGGTCTTTGGTTTGGTAGTTGCGAGTCCGGCTCCTGTTCGTACTATTGACTAAAGTTAGTTCATGTCAACGTGCACGCACACACACACACACACGCACGCACAGATACAGAAAACTGTTTACAAGTTAGTACTCATGGAGGGAGATGACATTAACACTGGTGTTATACTTGACATCCTCCTCTTACTTTCCTTCGGTTGTTAACTACTCCTGCATACTTTGTGCTACATAAACCGTTCAGCTATCAAACCTTTCAGCTTCTTTAGGAGATATATCCTTTCCTTCAAGTTTTTGATGCTATTCATCATTCATCATTCTTGAAATAATAAACTTTTTCTGCAATTTACACAATGTAACTTAATGGAGATGATGTTCAACTCCTTCAAAACTTCGTCTTTGAAATTCAACGACTTGAAAATACTCTCAGCTACAGACTTTATTCAAACTTTAAACTGTTCACAGCACTTCCAGCCGTGTATTTGTGTGTACTTGTGTGTGCGTGTTGATGTGTGGTTCTTTGTGTGTACATGTCTTTCTACACTGTTGCTCTTAAAGTTTTTTCCTTTTTCCATGAAATGATTGTGACAATGTGATTTATTTCCTTTCACCTGGGTAATTGGGACACATAATGTAATCTTTGCACCTGGTCAAAAGTGATTACTGATGCATTTAAATAGGAATAAACAGAGGATGATGTCTGAAAACAAAATAATTCCAACTTTATGGGCGACAGTATATAATTGTGAGGACAATTTTGGTTGAAAACCATTTTTGTGAGGTCATTTTGGGCAGGAAAGTAGCATTCTTTGTACAGATTGAAACGTGAGGAGTGAAGTGCACACACCAAGCATCAGGCACATTCAAAATTCCCAAGACAACAGACGACGACAGCACAATAAAAAAGCACCAAACTGCCATGTCCTAAATCAGTAGCAATATGATGTGCAGTCAGTATTTGTTTGCTGTATTTTTTCCTGAGTGGCAACAAAGCATCAACTTCCAAGGCTGAAAAATGAAGCTAACACTGAAGTGCTAAAAACTGCAGTTCCTCTAATGACCACTACAGTCTGGCTCCAACAGTGATTCAATCCCCATAGACTCCCATGTTAAAATGTCCAACTTTACAACAGAAATAAACATGTTTACAGCCTGTTTATTCGAGTGACAGGTGGGTGGGTGTATTGTGCCACAAACTGGTATGCACCGAAGTCGCTGCTCCACACACACCCCACCTCTTTGTCCATCTTTGGATCAACTGGAAGTTAGGGGCGGAGTCAGGTACTGCCGAGATGGCGACGGTGGAGCAGCTAACTCTCAGCTTCAAAACTGCTTTTCAGAAACCTGTGGGTGATGTCACAGAGGCTATATCCATCTTTATTTAAAATCTATGGTGGCAACTAACCCTGGGTACATTAGCTGAAATACATAAAAAAATATGGCGGCACGGTGGTGCCGAGATGGCGACGGTGGAGCAGCTAACTCTCAGCTTCAAAACTGCTTTTCAGAAACCTGTGGGTGATGTCACAGAGGCTATATCCATCTTTATTTAAAATCTATGGTGGCAACTAACCCTGGGTACATT